AATGCAATGCCATTATGACTAGAAGTGGCAAGATTTTAGATGAGAGAAAAGAGAAAGTTGAGTTGAGTAAAAAAGAAGAAGAGAATGATGAGAGAAGAGGTGAGGTTGAGAGAAAAGAAAAAGAGAAAAAAGAGGAAGAGAGAAAAGAAAAGAAGAGAAAAGAAAAGGAAAGAGAAGAGAGAGAAAAATAAAAAGATGTTGAAAAACCTCTTCCTTATCCAAAGACTTATTCAAGGAAGGAGAAAGAAAAACAGCTTGAGCGGTTCATGGAGACTTTTAAGAAATTGGAGATCACCATACCTTTCTCTGAAGCATTGCAACAAATTCCTTCGTATACAAAGTTTTTAGAGGAGCTCCTCACAAAGAAGAAATATCTAGATGAGGAAACAATTGAAGTGCAGGGTAATTACAGTGCCATATTGCAAAAGACACTACCTCCCAAATTCAAAGATCCAAGGAGTTTCACCATCCCTTGCACCATTGGGAATCATGATATAGGGAAGGTTCTAGTTGACTTAGGAGCTAGTATCAATCTAATGCCCTTATTTATGCTTAAGAAGATTTGTGGTCTGGAGGTCAAACCAACAAAAGCAATTTTGCAAATGGCAAATGGGTCCATTAAGCATCCTTATGGTGTGGTAGAAGACGTGTTGGTAAAAATTGATAAGCTCTAATTCCCTGTTGATTTTGTTGTAATGGATATGGGGGAAGATGTAGAGATGCCCCTCATTCTTGGAAGACCCTTTATGAAGAGAACCAAAGTTGTCATTCATTTGGATGAGGGAACTATGCAATTGAAAGACCAAGATGAAGAGGTAACTTTTAATGTCTTTGATGAGGTGCAGCCAATACAAGTAACAAAGACGAGTCCTAAAGCTAAGGATGAAGTTCACTCAGTGACTAGTCTACCTGATAAAGCTGCCCAGCAGGTTAAGAGAAATCATAGTTGTTGCTTTCCAAGGCTGAAGGAAGATGATGGAGATAAGGAAGAAAAACTCGTTCACCATGACTCTGTGATGGAAAATAATGAACCCTACCTTAGCAAACCAGTGAAATTCAAGAAAAGGTTATGGGTTATCAAGGATATAAAGGAAAATGGAGTTCTTGAGATTGAGGCTCCTTACTCTAGAAGAGTCAAGTTGGTGACAAGAAAGATGATGAAATTATGTTGGTGTCATGAAAGGAAGAAGCACATCAACATTGAAAATCAAACTTGAGCTTTATTGGGTCAAGCTAATGACGTTAAACAAGCGCTTACTGGGAGGCACCCCAGTGTTCTAAACTCATCTTTTTATTCTTTATTTGTTTCTATTTTTAGAATAGGTTGTGATGTATGCAATTTGAAACCTATATCTGGTGTGGTGGTTTAATATTGATTTATGTGTGATGATTATTGTTTGATGATGCTTTGAGATTGATTGATGTTGAGATGTTGCACAGGATGCTTGATATACAGGTGATTGTTCACAAACTTGTAAACAGATGCATGATGTTATGATTGTGGTTATGATGCTAAGCAGGATGTGTATTTGATGTATGTGGAACATGAATTACCTTGTGTGAGGTTTTGAACTCCAGAGTATTTGTTTGAATGATTGTTATTCTTTTGAAAGCATGAATTATTTTGTCCAGGTTTCTATGTTTGAACTACTTGCATGCTTGTGTCACTTGATTAAGGCCATTTTTATTACCCTTTTTCTTAGCCAATGCATGATTTGTACCCAAATGAAAAAGAGCATGAAGTGTTCTATTTTTTTTGAACCTCAAGCCTTAAACAAATCCTTTGTGAAAATCTTTACCTTGAGTTAAGTTGAGAATCATTGTGTGGTATTGATAAATGTCTAAGTTTGGGGTTGTTGGGAGAATTTAAAAGGAAAGTAATGAAAAGCATTGAGCTAAGTGTTGAGCAAGTATGAAAAAGAGAAAAGAAAATAGAATGCAAAGAAAGAAAAGCTCAATGTAAAAAGGGGAAAGTTGGGAATAAGTGAGATTGGTTTGTCTAAAGAGAGATTGTATTTGAATGATAAATTTATGAATGACTCTCTTAACTAAAGGATTTTGTGATCTTGAAAAACCAATTTTTCTTCTTAGCCCAACCACGTTACAAGCCATAGAAAGTCCTTGTGATGATACTTGTCTATGAATATGATTGATTATGGTAAATGAAAGGCAATTTTGTTCTATGTGACATTAGGATAGTAGAGTGAAAAAATGACCTCTATATACACCTGTGTGATTGAGTGAAACAATTTGTCTGGTGAGGAAGAGTTCCATGAATACATGATTACATATGTGCATAGTTAATTGATCATTCATGAAGATAGCATCTGTGGGATATTATGTGATTATGTGAACATCATGATGAGTGATTATTAATCAAATGACAGTTTTATTTGACTTTTATCAATATATGGAACTGTTAGTTATTGGGTATAGATGTGAGATCATCTAATTTTTTTTTTATAAAACGATAAAGTTACATATAGATTTTTTCGTATGTAATTACATACATATTTTATATACGGATTTTTCCGTATATAATTATATACAGATTTTACAAACGGATTTTTTCGTATGTAATTACATATGGATAAATCCGTATATAAATTATATACGGATATATTCGTATATAAGTTAGCTACAACAATTTTATATACAGATTTTTGTCCGTATGTAAGTCGTATGTAACCAAGTGTTATATACGGATTTTTTGCCTTATACGTAATTCAGTTTTTCTTGTAATAACATTGTGTACCTCATTACTTCCTTGAAACTCTTCTTGTATTATGTTCCAAGCTTGCTTTGCATTTGAGAGCGGAAAAATGTCTTCATTTTGATACTCTAGAAATCATAATTTTCTCCTGTGAAAATAGGTACTCGAATTGATGATGTTTGATTGGTAGAAGCCATGAGTTGAGAAAATATTTTGAAAATAGTATAAAATGAAATTATAGTTTTGTTTAAGGTAGTTGAAAATTTATCTATGCCTAATGACCGAACGTAGCTCTGATACCACGGTTAGTATTTTGAGGTAGTTAAAAAATTTTATCTACCTCAAAGAAAACATTTTGTATTCCAAAAAGAGTTTGGTATATGATACAAAACCATGACTGAGTGGCTCAAAATTCAAACCTTGACTCGTGATTAAAGAAGTCAAGAGTTGAAGCAGTCATTATCATATATTCACACCTAACCCAAATCCACCAACCATTGTAAACTGACGAAACTTATATGGCCGACCATAACCACAAGATTCCCACCACTGCCACGAATTAATTCCACATCACAAAGGACACGACCATTAGAAAATCTTAGCGTTTGTTTTGTAGCTGGATTTAAACATATATAAGATGAACTACTACTACGTATACATCGAAAAGCATAAACCGAACAAGTAGTAAAGTACGTTCAAAATAAAAACAAAAATGGGTTTCTGTAGCAATGGCAGAGAAGAGAGTGAAATATATCACGCTCAAATCCACCTGTACAAACACGTGTACAACTTCGTGAGCTCTATGGCTCTCAAGTGCGCCATGGAACTGGGAATAGCGGACGCAATCCACGGCCACGGAGAACCCATGAGCATTTCTGAGTTAGCCTCTGCACTGAAACTGCACCCTTCAAAACTCTCTGTCCTCCACCGATTCATGCGCCTTCTAACACATAATGGGTTCTTCGCCAAAACAACAGTGGCGTCACATGAAGGAGCAGGAGGAGAAGAAACAGTGTATGATCTCACCCCTCCTTCCAAGCTTCTGATCCGAAGCAAGTCAATGTGTTTGGCTCCTATTGTTAAGGGCGCGCTTCATTCGAGTTCCATCGATATGTGGCACTCCTCCAACAAGTGGTTCACTGAGGATAAGGAACTCTCACTGTATGAGAGTGCCAACGGTGAGAGTTTCTGGGAGTTTTTGAACAAAACCACTGAATCTGATACGCTTAACATGTTTCATGAAGCCATGGCAGCAGATTCTAGAATGTTCAAGATGGCTCTGGAAGAGTGCAAGCATGTGTTTGAGGGATTGGGTTCCCTTGTCGATGTGGGAGGTGGAACTGGTGCTGTCACGAGTCTCATCAATGAACTCTTCCCTCAAATGAAGTGCACGGTGTTTGATCAACCACAGGTTGTGTCCAACTTGACTGGATCTGAAAATTTGAACTTTGTTGGTGGGGATATGTTCAAATCCATCCCTTCAGCTGATGCTGTTTTACTCAAGGTATAATAACTTTTCCCATTCTAAATTATATTCTTTTTGCTTTACACAAAGTTTTTAGCTATAGCCGTCGAAACGGTTATCCGGCTCGATCCGGTTTGTTTCGGATTGGTTATTTATTGAGTCAATCCAATTCAGGTCATTTATTGAGTCAATCCAACACAGCCTACTTATTAGCGAAAAATTCGAACCCGATTCGACCCACCATGGGTTGGTGGGTTACCCTACTCGATCTACTACGGATTGGTGGGTTAAACGGGTTGGTTCACTCGCTCATTTAATTATAAGTTTTTTTAAAATAAAAATAATATATTTTTTTAATTCAAATCTAAATAAATTTCACATTAAAATGATGTTAAACTCCAAAAATAATTCAAAATAAATAAAAAAAAAGTATCATACAACCTAAGCGTAATCCAAAAATATGTACAAAAGGTAAACAAATAAGTTTTCAATAATGATAATTTTTGTATCACTTGTCCATTTATAATATTAGAATCTTGAATAGATAAATCTATAATTTTTTTTAAACCTCTTCTTCTTTATCATCAGCTACAATATAATAAAAAAAATGTTAATTAATAATATTGAAATATAAAATAATAAATAATTAAATTAAATTAAGTGAGGTTGATGAGCTAACTTAGTCTACCACGGGTTCAACCCGGTGAGTTGGTCCTAAGTGAGCCGAATTGAAAATTAACCCGTATAAAAAAGTTACATTTATTTCCAAACTCAATGCAGTTCAAATCCGTGATAGGTTAGGTTGGTTCACGGTTCCAATCCATTATCACATCACTAATTTTTATCATTTGAAAATTTACTCTGACTTCAACTCAACTTAGGTTTGAAATGATCTTCCTAGCTAGTAGTATCTTGCATTTTAGCAGCAGTTATTAAAATACAGTTACTGCGTTTAAACCGCAGTAATATAAAAGTTAAAAATCAACATTAAATTCATAAGAATCTTTGCAAACATTTATTACTTTCGTTATTTCTGAGATAACTTTTAAATATATACATAATTTTAATAGGAATAAATATTAGAAAGCATACTAAAATGTTATATAATCTTGAAGTAATAATAGTAATATTAATTATATTTCTTTTAAGTTATATATGCAACATGAGAAAATGAACATTGAATTATATATCTTTTGTGGTATAAATTAAATGTAAACAAATAAATAAAATTTTAAATCGACATAAAATTGTTATATTACATGTTTTTTAAGATAATTAATAAAATTAATAATTAACAATAATAACAATAATATTCCATATATATTGATATGAAGATATTTTATTAGTCAAATTATAAATTTATATGTTGGCACAAAATATTATATAATTAAATTTTCTAATATAGTTATGATTTATAGAAGTAAATCACTTAAAAAATAAAATATTTATATAAAAAAATATATGAATATTTTTTTAATATAAATTATATTAATTTA